GCGCGGGAGTGGGCGCGGGAGTTGGCGCAGGCGTCGGTGCGAGCGTCGGCGCAGGCGTCCGTGCTGGGGTCGGTGCAAGCGTTGGTGCAGGCGTTGGCACAGGCGTTGGCACAGGCGTCAGCGCAAGAGTGGGCGCGGGAGTGGGCGTCGGAGTTGGCGCAGGCGTCGGTGCTGGGGTCGGCGCAAGGGTCGGCGCAAGGGTCGGCACGGGAGTCGGGGACGGAGTCGGCGCAGGCGTCGGTGCTGGGGTCGGTGCTGGGGTCGGTGCTGGGGACGGTGCTGGCGTTGGCACAGGCGTTGGCACAAGCGTCGGCGCAAGAGTGGGCGCGGGAGTGCGCGCCGGAGTTGGCGCTGGGTTCGGTGCTGGGGTCGGTGCAAGGGTCGGCGCTAGGGTCGGCACGGGAGTCGGGGACGGAGTCGGTCCAGGCGTCGGTGCCAAAATCGACGCAGGCGTCGGTGCTAGGGTCGGTGCTGGGGTCGGTGCAGGCGTTGGTGTAGGCGTTGGTGCAGGCGTTGGCGCAGGAGTTGGCGCAGGCGTTGGCGCAGGCGTCGGTACTGGGGTCGGTGCAAGGGTCGGCGCAAGGGTCGGCACGGGAGTCGGGGACGGAGTCGGTCCAGGCGTCGGTGCCAAAGTCGGCGCAGGCGTCGGTGCTGGGGTCGGTGCTGGGGTCGGTGCAGGCGTTGGTGCAGGCGTTGGTGCAGGCGTCGGCGCAGGCGTTGGCGCAGGCGTCGGCGCAAGAGTGGGCGCAGGCGTCGGTGCTGGGGTCGGCGCAGGCGTCGGTGCAGGCGTCGGTGCTGGGGTCGGTACAAGCGTTGTTGCAGGCGTTGGCACTGGCGTTGGCACAGGCGTCGGCGCAGGCGTTGGCGCAGGCGTCGGCGCAAGAGTGGGCGCGGGAGTGGGCGCCGGAATTGGCGCAGGCGTCGGTGCTGGGGTCGGCGCAAGGGTCGGCGCAAGGGTCGGCACGGGAGTCGGGGACGGAGTCGGTCCAGGCGTCGGTGCCAAAGTCGGCGCAGGCGTCGGTGCTGGGGTCGGTGCTGGGGTCGGTGCAGGCGTCGGTGCAGGCGTCGGCGCAAGAGTAGGCGCAAGAGTGGGCGCCGGAGTTGGCGCAGGCGTCGGTGCGAGCGTCGGCGCAGGCGTCGGTGCTGGGGTCGGTGCAGGCGTCGGTGCTGGGGTCGGTGCAGGCGTCGGTGCTGGGGTCGGTGCAGGCTTCGGTGCTGGGGTCGTTGCAGGCGTTGGCGCAGGCGTCGGCGCGAGAGTGGGTGTGGGAGTGGGCGCCGGAGTTGGCGCTGGCGTCGGTGCTGGGGTCGGCGCAAGGGTTGGCGCGGGAGTTGGGACCGGAGTCGGTGCAGGCGTCGGTGCCAAAGTTGTCGGCGTAGGCGTCGGTGCCAAAGTCGGCGCAGTCGTCGGTGCCAAAGTGGGCGCAGGGGTCGGGGCAGGCGTCGGGGTCAAAGTCGGCGCAGGCGTCGGTGCAGGGGTCGGCGCAAGCGTCGGTGCAGGCGTCGGTGCGAAAGTTGGCGCATACGTCGGCGCAGGCGTCGGCGCCGTGGTTGGCGCCGGCGTTGGTGCGAGCTTCGGTGCTGGTGTCGGTGCTGGTGTCGGTACTGGCGTTGGAGCAGGGGTCGGTGCAGGTGTTGGGGTTGGCGTCGGTGCAAGAGGAGTGGGCGCAGGTGTCGGTGCTGGGGTCGGGGCAATAGTTGGCGCCGTAGTCGATGCGGGAGTCGGCCCCGTCTTCGCTGCGTGGAATAGACCGGGACGTACACGATGGATTGTTGTTGAAGGGGTCTCAAAGGGGAGTGGTCACCACGTCAAGCATGTAGCAGGTGACGTTTGTGCAGTTTCGGAACAATAGTTGGTGCACAACTTCATGAGTAAAGATGTCATGACGGTGGAGGATTGCGCCTCAATAGGAACAACAGATATGTTGCACGCGTGCTGAGATAAGAAAGAATAGAAACAAAAACTCGAAGGGAGAGCCCAGGCAGAGAACCATCACCACGCGGGTGGCCTATTGCGGCGTCTGGTTTGCATTGATTCTACCGCAAACTCGACGGCGTTCTCTCGGATGCATCACAGCCCAGCCTGAGGTACCTCGGGAGCAGGATACGTGGTCAGTGCCTTTTAGGAGACTGTTAGGATCATCTAACGAAGCCGTCAAGGTGTACGAGAGCAACGAGCAACGCTGACAACTCGGACAGAAAACAGTTCCAAAAATGCACAAGATACTTACAAACATCGAGACGAGACTCGCTAGTGGTGGAATTTCTTTCCAAGCCACCACTCATATTCCGTGGAATGCAACGCGTGTCTATGGTAGTCGGCATGCCATGCTTGAGTCGTTTCTCGTTAGTGTTAGCTCGTGTCGGAAGGACTCACCGTCGATGATGCACGGGGCCTTGGCGCCAGGTCTAGAGCAAGGGTTGCACGTTCGGATGATGTCATCGACACAACAGTCAAGTCCGCGACGCTTCTTCGAGGCACATTCTGGTCCACCACACGTACCGCATGCGAGCTGTTCGCAGAAACGCGTATCGAGAATGGGAACGGTGGCGTGGGCTAGAGGTGTCGACAGCAACGAAGATTTCCAAACGATCCACGAGTTTATCACGCAAATGAACGACCGAGTTCGCGATATAGACTGCCTTGGCCAGTCACTTGTGGCCTGCAAGTTGGCATCGTGCAATACTCAGATAAGGGGCTAGCCTCACCGGGCAACAGACGTTGCCATTGCTGTTCTGGCCGACGTTTCCTTGAATGCCTGGGTGGTAGGGGGCGCACGTCGCTTCGGGTGGTGTCGGCTTCATCGGTGGGGAAGCCTCGCCCGGCTTCCGGGCCGGTGACGGTTCCTTCTGCCGCGAAGACGTACCTAGAGGTAAACATTGTGCGTAGTTGTGAATGTCGGTTGACGTTGACGTCATTGCGGTTGTGGGAAAACGTTTGTCGCTACAACGAGGCGCAGCTACACGTCACTTTCAAACTCCAAGTCTAGCTGGCACGCAACGTTAAAACTTCGATTCGGGAAGTGCGTGGGTCCCATATTCCATTACTGAAAGCGAGGGTGTATGTCTGAGAGTCTACCTTGGGAAGGAGCATCCATCGAAGGGGGGAAATCAGAGGGCCGAGCACGCCTGTAGGAAGACTCTCTTATTAGCCATGGACGAGAAATATTTTTTCTACCGCTGTGTACCCTTACTGGCTCGTGAATCATTGGTGCCCCACCACATACTGCCAACACCCGTCAGAGCCGTTAGTCACAGTGCGAAGGTTTCGGGAGTTGAAGCCAAGCGAGCGCATCGACAGCGAGCAGCGCCTTTGGTGATTTGAAAGGAGTAAAATCACCCCGCACCATCCGTGCCAAACGCCTGGACGATACGTACCAATACACACATGTTCTTCCTCCTCACACGCGACCGGTCTACTACAAGCGGTTCAGTTCCACAGTACGTACTCGAGCGGTCTACCGGACATGAGCTTCTACGAAGATGAAGCGCCCTGTGACTGTCAGCCCCTCTGCTCGGACCCCCAAAGGCTTCAGGTACAACGGAGCTGCCGCCATTTCTAATCCCAAACCATTTAGCGAAAACAGGTGAAATGCTTTGGTAGGACAGTCGGGGGGTGACCTAAGCCCCCCCATCAGCATTCACCCGTGTTCTCGCACTCCTAAGTCGCACACCAACCATAGAGGCCGTCTCGTCATTCGAGCCGTTACTCTGTGCCCCCCCCCGGTCTTACCCCCGCGTCCTTGGATGATGCAAGGGGCGCTAGCTCCACGGTCGGCGCAATAGCCCTGGTTTCGGAGAATGCCGGAGACGCAGCAGTCATCCCCGCTCAATCCGAAGGGTTGTTTTTTCCTGCATCCCACGCCACCGCACTGCCTGCATTCCAGCTGTCAGTAGAGGAGCACCAGGAGAAGGGGAAATGTGGTGAGAGTAAAGAGGTAGCGGAGTTTAGCAGGCTCTAATGAGCCACGGAGTTTGCCAATGAGTCACTCTTGGTCTATAGCTAGACACCACACAACACAATAATCAGGACCAAGCCTCACCGGGCAACAGACGATGCCTGGGCGGCCCTGGCCGATGTTTCCTTGGATGCCCGGGTGGTAGGGGGCGCACGTGGCCTGGGACAGTGTCGGTTCCTTCTGCCGGGAAGGCTTGTGCCGCTTCCGGGCCGATTTCGTTTGCCGGGAAGACTTGCGTGGCTTCCGGGCCGGTGACGGTTCCTTCTGCCGGGAAGAAGACGTACCTGGAGATAAAAATGTGCGAGTTGTGAATAAGCGGTTGACGTGGACGTCATTGCGGTCGCCGGAAAACATTCGTCTCTATGCAACGACGTGCAGCTGCACGTCACGTTGGGTTAGCTAGCTGGCACGCAACGTTAAAACTTCGACTCGGGAAGTGCGTGGGTCTCATATTCCATTACTGAACGCGAGGGTGTATGAGAGTCTACCTTGGGAAGGAACATCCATCGAAGGGGGGAAATCAGAGGGCCGAGCACGCCTGTAGGAAGACTAACTGATTAGCCAAATATTTTTTCTACCGCTGTGTACCCTTACTGGCTCGTGAATCATTGGTGCCCCACCACATACTGCCAACACCCGTCAGAGCCGTTAGTCACAGTGCGAAGGTTTCGGGAGTTGAAGCCAAGCGAGCGCATCGACAGCGAGCAGCGCCTTCGGTGATTTGAAAGGAGTAAAATCACCCCGCACCATCCGTGCCAAACGCCTAGACGATACGTACCAATACACACATGTTCTTCCTCCTCACACGCGACCGGTCTACTACAAGCGGTTCAGTTCCACAGTACGTACTCGAGCGGTCTACCGGACATGAGCTTCTACGAAGATGAAGCGCCCTGTGACTGTCAGCCCCTCTGCTCGGACCCCCAAAGGCTTCAGGTACAACGGAGCTGCCGCCATTTCCAATCCCAAACCATTTAGCGAAAACAGGTGAAATGCTTTGGTAGGACAGTCGGGGGGTGACCTAAGCCCCCCCATCAGCATTCACCCGTGTTCTCGCACTCCTAAGTCGCACACCAACCATAGAGGCCGTCTCGTCATTCGAGCCGTTACTCTGTGCCCCCCCCGGTCTTACCCCCGCGTCCTTGGATGATGCAAGGGGCGCTAGCTCCACGGTCGGCGCAATAGCCCTGGTTTCGGAGAATGCCGGAGACGCAGCAGTCATCCCCGCTCAATCCGAAGGGTTGTTTTTTCCTGCATCCCACGCCACCGCACTGCCTGCATTCCAGCTGTCAGTAGAGGAGCACCAGGAGAAGGGGAAATGTGGTGAGAGTAAAGAGGTAGCGGAGTTTAGCAGGCTCTAATGAGCTACGAAGTTTGCCAATGAGTCACTCTTGGTCTGTAGCTAGACACCACACAACACAAAAATCAGGACCAAGCCTCGCCGGGCAACAGACGATGCCTGGGCGGCCCTGGCCGATGTTTCCTTGGATGCCCGGGTGGTAGGGGGCGCACGTGGCCTGGGACGGTGTCGGTTTCCTCGACCAGGACGACTTACCTGGAGGCACGACGAGAATGGAAGTGCCATGAGTAGCTGTCAATTTACGGCTGACGTTGGCGTTCATGCTGTTATGGGCAAGAAAGCGTTACTTCCTTGTGTAAGATACTCAACCGCACGTCACTTTCAACTTCAAAACTGTTAACCTGCATGGCATGACACCCACGTGGCGCAACGAAACTCACCTCGACACGACTGGTTGTGGTCTGGGCTCTTAGAGCGCGGGAAGGGAGGGTCTACGAGAGAGCATCTCTGGACGGCATGTTGATCGAAATCGGGAAGCAAATGGGTACGTCACGCCTGCAAACCGATGGCCGATAAACCAAGAACGAGAACCGGAATCCTTAACGTTGTCAGAATTGCTGTCTTGTGAATGACTGGTGGTGGTCGTCCGGCGCATTGCCAACACGCACCATCGAGGCCACTCAATCACAGTGCGAGGCTGATGAGTTTGAGGCTGGAGCCAAACGAAAGTATGGCGGCTAGCGGCCCCATGAATGGTCACGACAAAGACCAATCGGCGGTCGGCAGCTTCGTTGATTCAGGTCGGGACAGGGCAGAAAAGGGCCGCCAAACCCTGGGAACCTGCGCGGCCTCCGTGAGAAAATCATGGGGATATTCTACGTCAATGGGAAACCTGGACGGGGAAAATCCACAGAACCTAATGTCTTGATGTATACATGTACACATGTAGGCGAGGCCTGCATCTTCTTGTCCTACAGGGCGTGGCATGGAGAACAGCTGTATACGAAAGCCTCCCGCAACCTCTCTCACTCACCACCTGCCACGGAAGTGACGAGCATAGCCATCACGAGGAGCTTTCCCCACGAAGATGAGAAAATGTGCATCATGATTCTTTGAAACCGGCAATTTAGTTCGAGGGAAACGCGGGGCGGTCGGGAAGCGACATATCAACTCGTTTTATCGTGTGCGAGCGGATGATTTCTTCGTCACCCGGGTTTCACCCTGGCAATGGCTTGTGGGGCATCCCGTAAAGACGTAGACGCGGGGTGTGTAACAAGGTCAGTAGATCCATGACATGTTGGTTTGTATATACTTCGGCGGAACAACACCAGAAGGATTGGACGTACGCACAATGTATGCTGTAGTTCGTTCTCGCTACAAGACGCTCTCCCCTTAGCAGCCGTTCGGCAAGATTGTGGGAGAGTCAGCGTGGAGTTATCCATCCACATAGAATATACTTGCTTGAAGTCAACCTCACACTTCCAGCAGTATAGTAGGCACAAGATGGAGCCCATTCGATCATTTCAATGTATGTATGCATACTTTATGTAAGTTGCTCCTTTATTATTCTGTATTCTTGCACCACCAGCCTCACCTTTTTTTTTTTTCCGTTGACAAGTCGATTTCGGTGCCGATTGACGATATGGTCCACTGGCTGTGAAAGTTGTGAGCAGGTGGGCAAGGGGGTGCGAGAGGGCTGGGCACGCATGGTTGGATCCTTCCATCCGTGGTCAGGGACTTGAACCGAGAAAAATAATGCTATCGGTCAAATGCCTCGGTTGAACCGAATGACTGGACTTCTCACATGCCTCGTTGAAGCGAGAAACAACGAACGGGCCAAGGTATTCAATTCTACATACCATACCTGTTGCGCCGAGCTGTACTACCGTGTGATATCTCTCCCGCACGGTCCTACCCTGATGAGTTCGAGTCGTGAACTCACCCATTTCGATTCCGCCAAGTCGACACCCGTGTCTGGTGTCTCCATCCAGTAGTCTATGTATATAGCTGCTGTACTGGCAGTTCTCGTGTTTCTCTTCGTCTGCCCCCCAGTCGTACCTTGAATCTTGTATGGGGCTTCAGGGTCACGGTTGCAGCAACGCCCCTGGATTTGGAGGTTGTCGGTGACGCGGGAGTCCTCTCCACTCAATTCGCGGGGTAGAGTGGCCGCACGACTGTACAGAATAATCTGTTCGCATCCCAGCTGTCGGAAGAGGACGACAGAGCAGGTGCGAGGTGTCCACGCACACGCGTTCATGATGAATCTGTGCTCAAAGGAACCCGTACGACATATATATCCGCACGTCCGCACGACTTATCCTGCTTCATGAAGGGCGAAACATTGGACCTGCTTGGCTTGTAGATACAGCATCTGCTGCTGCTGAAGTTTCCGTGTGGAGCTCTGTATGCATAGCTCGCTGTCGGGCACCCGACCCCTCCGACATTCATTCGCTCCTCCTTCGCTCGCAAT